TCATGCCCCATATATAAGGGCTTGCCAGCATCCAGCTCAACAGATTACCCAATGAGTGCTCATGGCTGTAACATCTACTCTCATCTCCGGGTGATGGTAGACGCACATAGTAATTTTGTTTAAAGTACTGCCTTCACCTTTGTTATTTAACGTAAATTTCACATGTATTTCTCTTTTGACTGTATGTAAGCCAAGTGGATAAGGGGTTTTGTTTTCATTGTTACTTGTCATTCTGTGTAAAATTAGTCGTTTTTTATTATATTAAATGTTTGAAGTTTTATTCTCTTTGGGGTTTACTCGCAGCTCTCACACTGTAGAGGTGTCAAGCAGTTTATTTTTTAACTTTGTTTTCCTTTTTTATTAATGTGCGATTGGCACAAGATCTGCCAGAAAACCAGGCTGTGACTCATACGTCAGGCTGCGAGCAGCCGCGTCCAACAGCCTGGTTGATCAGTCCGGCAACCAGGAGGCCTGGTCGACGACCGGGCCGCGGGGACGCTAAGCCCCGGAAGCACCTCAAGGTAACCTCAAGGTATAGTTACTGCTTTATTCTAGACTCTGGTCAAACTGTCTTCTATGGTTCTCACGTCGGCGAATTCACCTTTCTCAGCAAATAATGGGCCAGTCCTGTACAGTATCGTCACGGTGCCAAAGAACCACTCGCCTGGCGTTCCGCGAGCGCTGTCATGGGTTCGTATCCTGGCCGGGGAGGATTTACTGGGCGCAATTCCTTAACTGTAGCCTCTGTTTAACGCAACAGTAAAATGTGTACTTCAATGAAAAAACGATTCTTCGCGGCAGGGGATCGTATTCCAGGGACCATAGGATTAAGGACTTGCCCGAAACGCTACGCGTACTAGTGGCTGTACAAGAATGTAACAACTCTTGTATATATCTCAAAAAAAAAAAAACATTTCTGCTCTCCAGCAACACACTGGCAGGGGTCTCCAGCAACACACTGGCAGGGGTCTCCAGCAACACGCTGGCAGGGGTCTCCAGCAACACACTGGCAGGGGTCTCCAGCAACACACTGGCAGGGGTCTCCAGCAACACACTGACAGGGGTCTCCAGCAACACACTGGCAGGGGTCTCCAGCAACACACTGGCAGGGGTCTCCAGCAACACACTGGCAGGGGTCTCCAGCAACACACTGGCAGGGGTCTCCAGCAACACGCTGGCAGGGGTCTCCAGCAACACACTGGCAGGGGTCTCCAGCAACACGCTGGCAGGGGTCTCCAGCAACACGCTGGCAGGGGTCTCCAGCAACACGCTGGCAGGGGTCTCCAGCAACACACTGGCAGGGGTCTCCAGCAACACGCTGGCAGGGGTCTCCAGCAACACGCTGGCAGGGGTCTCCAGCAACACACTGGCTGAGGTCTCCAGCAACACGCTGGCAGGGGTCTCCAGCAACACACTGGCAGGGGTCTCCAGCAACACGCTGGCAGGGGTCTCCAGCAACACACTGGCAGGGGTCTCCAGCAACACACTGGCAGGGGTCTCCAGCAACACGCTGGCAGGGGTCTCCAGCAACACGCTGGCAGGGGTCTCCAGCAACACACTGGCAGGGGTCTCCAGCAACACACTGGCAGAGGTCTCCAGCAACACACTGGCAAGGGTCTCCAGCAACACACTGGCAGGGGTCTCCAGCAACACACTGGCAGGGGTCTCCAGCAACACGCTGGCAGGGGTCTCCAGCAACACGCTGGCAGGGGTCTCCAGCAACACACTGGCAGGGGTCTCCAGCAACACGCTGGCAGGGGTCTCCAGCAACACACTGGCAGAGGTCTCCAGCAACACACTGGCAGGGGTCTCCAGCAACACGCTGGCAGGGGTCTCCAGCAACACGCTGGCAGGGGTCTCCAGCAACACACTGGCAGGGGTCTCCAGCAACACACTGGCAGGGGTCTCCAGCAACACGCTGGCAGGGGTCTCCAGCAACACACTGGCAGGGGTCTCCAGCAACACGCTGGCAGGGGTCTCCAGCAACACGCTGGCAGGGGTCTCCAGCAACACGCTGGCAGGGGTCTCCAGCAACACACTGGCAGGGGTCTCCAGCAACACGCTGGCAGGGGTCTCCAGCAACACGCTGGCAGGGGTCTCCAGCAACACACTGGCTGAGGTCTCCAGCAACACGCTGGCAGGGGTCTCCAGCAACACACTGGCAGGGGTCTCCAGCAACACGCTGGCAGGGGTCTCCAGCAACACACTGGCAGGGGTCTCCAGCAACACACTGGCAGGGGTCTCCAGCAACACGCTGGCAGGGGTCTCCAGCAACACGCTGGCAGGGGTCTCCAGCAACACGCTGGCAGGGGTCTCCAGCAACACACTGGCTGAGGTCTCCAGCAACACGCTGGCAGGGGTCTCCAGCAACACACTGGCAGGGGTCTCCAGCAACACGCTGGCAGGGGTCTCCAGCAACACACTGGCAGGGGTCTCCAGCAACACACTGGCAGAGGTCTCCAGCAACACACTGGCAAGGGTCTCCAGCAACACACTGGCAGGGGTCTCCAGCAACACACTGGCAGGGGTCTCCAGCAACACGCTGGCAGGGGTCTCCAGCAACACGCTGGCAGGGGTCTCCAGCAACACACTGGCAGGGGTCTCCAGCAACACGCTGGCAGGGGTCTCCAGCAACACACTGGCAGAGGTCTCCAGCAACACACTGGCAGGGGTCTCCAGCAACACGCTGGCAGGGGTCTCCAGCAACACGCTGGCAGGGGTCTCCAGCAACACACTGGCAGGGGTCTCCAGCAACACACTGGCAGGGGTCTCCAGCAACACGCTGGCAGGGGTCTCCAGCAACACACTGGCAGAGGTCTCCAGCAACACACTGGCAGGAGTCTCCAGCAACACACTGGCAGGGGTCTCCAGCAACACGCTGGCAGGGGTCTCCAGCAACACGCTGGCAGGGGTCTCCAGCAACACACTGGCAGGGGTCTCCAGCAACACGCTCGCAGGGGTCTCCAGCAACACGCTGGCAGGGGTCTCCAGCAACACACTGGCAGAGGTCTCCAGCAACACACTGGCAGGAGTCTCCAGCAACACACTGGCAGGGGTCTCCAGCAACACGCTGGCAGGGGTCTCCAGCAACACGCTGGCAGGGGTCTCCAGCAACACGCTGGCAGGGGTCTCCATCAACACACTGGCTGAGGTCTCCAGCAACACACTGGCTGAGGTCTCCAGCAACACACTGGCTGAGGTCCCCAGCAACACACTGGCTGAGGTCCCCAGCACTGGCAAGCTTCAACACAGGCTTAAACCAAGCCTTAACAGACGGCCATTACTTCCATCTTGTAACTCAACTTGGCCATCCCGGTATTCGTCGGTCCAATCACCAATAATTCACTATCACAGACAACTCACAGCCTACGCCGACTAGGCCACCTGTTCCCACTGGAACACATCTTCAGGACTACCCTGAGTGACATGATTCCTGTCGACCAAAATATCACCCACATCCCGTCTGAGGAGTACAAATGTAGTAAGAAACAACACAGGGTCTCTAAGATCACAGCCTTCCGCCGGGGAATAGTAAATGGGGTCAGGTGCGCTCAACAGAAGGCGTGGACATAAGAACATAAGAACAAAGGCAACTGCAGAAGGCCTATTGGCCCATACGAGGCAGCTCCTATCTATAACCACCTAATCCCACTCATATACATGTCCAACCCGCGCTTGAAACAATCGAGGGCCCCCACCTCCACCACGTTACGCGGTAGAGGTGGACATTGGAAGTTACTACTGTGGAGCGTCGCCTAGAGACGTGACACCACGTGACTAATTCTTGTCCCATCCTGCACATATCTACGCCATGACCCACCACACCACCAGTCCGGCTGGCTACCCAGAACATCTACTACTATAACAGCTTCGCTGTGAAATGTTTTAAATAATAACTATAACAATTCGTAGAGTTCAATAATTTGACTTTACAATTTACAATTTTACAATCTAGTTACTAACAACTCATCAATTAATTTTCGTGTAGTTCAAATTATACCCCCTCCCCCCCCCTCCCAAATTGTGTTAAGTGGAAGTTTATCAGTGGAGATAACTAATAAAATATATATAGTTCACTTAATAAATAATAATTAATAAATTTGCAGTCTAAATAAAATACAAAGAAATTATTCACTGGTAGATTTCCCAATGTGGGAAATTTTACCCACTATATCAATATTATTATCTGAGAAATTATTATTTCCATATTATATCTACATATCAGAATCACCATAGATTCATTATATTGTATTATATATCAACTGAATCCTACGTGACAATTTGGTCACGTTCGCATTAAAGGTTCACAGGCGCCTACGTGACTACACACTCCTCATGTATTCTCAAGAATCTAGAAGCTTCGAGAAGAATATCTTAATTAAAAAATAGTTTGAACATCAAACATATTTTGTTGAGGATTAAATCAAATCCTTAATAAGAAACAACGGTACTATCAAATACTACTTATAATTAGATATAGGATTTGAAGCCTATATTATAATTACATTTTATCTCAATAATCAGTCTATACAATAAAAATAATGAATAAATTTTCATTGTAGGCTGAGGACGGGGCCGGTGGAGTAAGATCACGGGCCCTGCACCACGGCGGCTCCAGGCTGTCGCCAGTGTTGGTAAACACTGCTGACAAGAGGGCCTCCCACAGTGTAAACACTGCTGACAAGAAGGCCTCCCACAGTGTAAACAGTGCTGACAAGAGGGCCTCCCACAGTGTAAACAGTGCTGACAAGAGGGCCTCCCACAGTGTAAACAGTGCTGACAAGAAGGCCTCCCACAGTGTAAACAGTGCTGACAAGAAGGCCTCCCACAGTGTAAACAGTGCTGACAAGAAGGCCTCCCACAGTGTAAACAGTGCTGACAAGAAGGCCTCCCACAGTGTAAACAGTGCTGACAAGAAGGCCTCCCACAGTGTAAACAGTGCTGACAAGAGGGCCTCCCACAGTGTAAACAGTGCTGACAAGAAGGCCTCCACAGTGTAAACAGTGCTGACAAGAGGGCCTCCCACAGTGTAAACACTGCTGACAAGAGGGCCTCCCACAGTGTAAACACTGCTGACAAGAGGGCCTCCCACAGTGTAAACAGTGCTGACAAGAGGGCCTCCCACAGTGTAAACAGTGCTGACAAGAGGGCCTCCCACAGTAACACCAATTTACTCCCAGCGAGTCCAAGCGGGCAGTACAAATCATATTAGTTGCTATTTGCTGCCGAGACTACGCAACTTAAGGGAAGTGTCATTTCGGTTAGTCTATTAGTCAAGATTATTTAGCCTTTTAGTCTGTGACTAGGATTAATCGATAGGACGCAGGGAGACACCAAACACAAGGTGTTGGGTGTAGCCTTCTTAGCCTAATTATTATAACAATTTAAGTTCATGTGTAACACCTGAACATATATATAGTCATCAGATATTAGGGTGTAAGGTATCATCAGGTGAGTGTGACCACATGAGACATAGTGCAGCTGGCCACACACCAGGACTACCAGACGCCAGTAATCACTGGAGTGCATGGGTCCCAGGGTGTTGACCAGACCACACACTAGAAGGTGAAGGGACGACGACGTTTCGGTCCATCCTGGATCATTCTCAAGTCGATTGTGAAGAGGAGGTAGAGACAGGCAATAAATAGGCAAGAGAGAGCTGAGGAGGAAAGTAAGGTGTAGGGGATAGTAGTAATAATGAGAACTGCAGAGGGCCTATTGCCCCATACGAGGCAGCTCCTATTATAACCACCGAATGAGAAGGAGACAGTAATAGGAATAAGAAGAGGATAGCAAGGGAGCGTAGAAGACAATGAACAGAAAAAGGAAAGAGAAAGAAAGATAAATGGAAGGGGTAAGCTTATGTTAAGTCACGTTTGTTAGAAAGATTAGAGCATTTGAGTATATACTGTGAAAGGGAAGAGTCCACAGCAACAAAGCTAGGACTCAAGTTCATGTTGGGTACATTGTGTATTAGAGCCGATTCTACAAGACGGCGTTTGTGAAGAGTAGAGGAAGGAAAGATTATTTTCGAGGAAGACCAATCAATGGGATGATTAGAATCCCTCACATGGCAGAAGAGAGCATTGTTAGTGTCTGCAGACTTAACACTTCTCTTGTGTTCTTTAAGTCTGTCATTCAGTGTACGGCCAGTTTCGCCAAAGAATTGGAGAGGACAAGATGAACAGGAAATAGAGTAGACACCAGCAGCATTAGAAGCAGGAGGAGCAGTGTGAACTAGATTGCTACGAAGTGTGTTAGTTTGTCGAAAGGCGAGTTTAATGTCAAGAGGACGAAAGGTATTGGTAAAAGTTTTGAGTTCAGATATTAAGGGAAGGCATAGTACAGTGCTACTAGTGTTGGAAGCAGGTTTAGGATGAAAGAAATTTTGTTTAGCTTGAGAGTAGGCACAGTTGATGAAATGCAAAGGATAACCAAGACGAGAGAATGATTTGTAGATAAAGGCAATTTCAGAATCAAGAAACTGAGGGTCGCTAATGCGTAGAGCGCAGAGGAAGAGAGAGACGAGGACACTTTTCTTAACAGAAGGAGGATGGCAGGAAAAGAAGTGAATGGTCTGGTCAACATACTTCAGCCACGTTATTGTGACTCATCGCCTGTCCCAGGGTACCTGATGTGTCATGACCACTCAACACTGCTGACACAACTCAGGTCATCTTATATGTTCTTTATATAGTTGTGTGATCTATAACTCAATAGTAATTATATCGACAGCTTAAGGTACGATTAAAATATGAAACCTCCCAAATGTGTGAAGAGAAGTTTATTGTTGACAATAAATTATACAGTCCAGTAAGACGTAATAAATATAATCCCATAAAATTGTAATCAAATAAATCACCGGTAGGTTCCCCCCCCCCCCATCCCAGTCACCACTCCAGGATATTCCAGTTTCCAGAACAGAGTCCTGTGTGGGACTCTGTCAAAAGCTTTTTATTAGGTCCAAATAGACACAGTCAACCCAACCACCTCCTTCCTGTAGTATCTCTGTGGCTCTATCATAAAAATTAAGTAGATTTGATACACAGGATCTTCCTGTTCGAAAATCATACTGTCTGTCTGTTATTATGTCATTACTCTCTAGGTGTTCTAAACATATGGTTTTAACTATTTTTGCTAGTGTTTTGACTACCACGCTTGTTAATGACACACGTCTATAATTAAGAGTGGCTTCTCAGCTACCTTTTTTGTGAACTGGAACTATGTTTGTCTTATTCCATATATCTGTTAAGGTTCCTGTGCACAAAGATGTCTGGAATATTAATTGGAGTGGAATGCTCAGCTCAGTTGCACATTCTCTCAGCACCCAAGGTGAAACTCCATCAGGTTCAACTGCTTTATTTCTTCCTAACCCCGTTGAGTAATTTGGCACTTCGTCTTGAGATGTATTCTGTAGCGTGTTCTGGAATTGGTATTGGGTCCGGCTCTCTGAAATCCTCATTTTGTACAATTACACTTTGGAACTGTTCATTTAGTACAAAAGTTCAGCTCCTCACACTACTCCCACTCCAGCAGCCCCCTAGAACTCCCTACACCCCATTAACCCCCTTTGACCCCTCCCACCTGATCACCACCCCCCTCACACTACTCCCACCCCATCAACCCACTCACACTACTCCCACGCCCATCAACCCACTCATACTCCCACCCCATCAACCCCCCCTCACACTCCTCCCACCCCAATCAACCCCCCCTTAACACCCCCACCCCATCAACCCCCTCACAACCCCACCCCATCAACCCCTCCACCCATTACACGGAAAAAACAGAACGAGACGGAGCCAGAAGTTTCAAACGGCCTGGTTTGGTCTGGAGAAAATTTGCCCTAATAATACAACTGGAAATTAACCCTGGTGCAAAAGTTGCTTAGATTTGCCAGTTGTGGCGTGTGTGTGGGCGTGTGTGTGTGTGTGCGCGCGTGTGTGTGGGCGTGTGTGAGTGTGTGGGCGTGTGTGTGGGGGCGTGTGTGTGTGTGTGTGTGTGTGTGTGTGTGTGTGTGTGTGTGTGTGTGTGTGTGTGTGTGTGTGTGTGTGTGTGTGTGTGCGTGTGCGTGTGTGCGGGCGTGTGTGTGTGTGTGTGGGCGTGGCCGTGTGTGTGGGCGGGTGTAATTGTTGAGGGGAGAGTAAAACTGTGTGCTTCCTTCCCGGGTGTGGTGGCTCCCAGGGAGGGACTGAGCTCCAGAAGTGAGGCAGCAACCTAGCGAGGAATTTTATTTGGGAAAAACGGTGGGTGTGTGGAAGGGAGGGGGGGGGTGGCAGGTCTGGTTTGTTGTGGAGATGGGAGGGAGGGGGGGTGCAGTATATGAGATGGGCGGCAGGAAGTGGCTTACTGACCTAACACATTTACTAAGACCCTAAAGCTGTAGCATTAAAGATTATTGTAGAGGGAACCACATTCAAAGTGCCCGCCAAGGAGACATTTTACAGTATAGGCAGGGCTGTGCCCTGATTGGTGGACGACGACGGCGCACGGCCTACCCGCGCGGCAGCCCGCGCAGGCCGAGTGGGCCAGATTTGAACTGCATGTGACCCAACGCGGACGACGCCTGCCCGGCACCACTGGCACTTAGGATATGTGCCCATAGGACCCCTAAGAGGCATTGATTCCCTCTGTCCTACCCTTCCTGAGGAGCCTAGACTTGCTCCACCTACCCTACCAGCCCTTCCTCTCCCTACGACGACAGTTCCAGGTGATTTACTGTACTATTGTTGTAACACGTGGGTCACCTCTACATTGGCACAGTGAGTAAACGTTCCCACTCGGTGATCAAGAGGACCTCGCCAATATATCTGCATCATCGTTCTGCCGACTTCAGTCAAGACGTCTTAGATAGTGTTCAACGTTTCCAGTCTCGAATTACTGGCTTTGGTTGCACCATAGATGTTCTTTGGTTTGTTGTTCAATAGCGGTGCCCAAGATATTTCAACCCCTGTTTTTTTGTGCATATGTTTTATTCCACATCTCGTGCAATCCCCCAAGATTCTCCATAAGTTCCAGTTATCAGTGTTTTATACGGATTATTTCACCGGATTGGTTGCATTTTATTGTCTTGTCCCCCAAGCACCGATTCCCGCGGCCCCCAAGTTCTTTGAAGAAGGGGAGACGAGTACCACCATTCACACGGAATACGGGCCACTGTTCATGAGCATACCCGACCTGTATTGTTTACGAATCCGCTCGCGGAGGATTTCAGGCTGTCGTTCCCGAGCGCATCCGTCTCCAGTGTGTTTACTACAGCGACGCTGGTCCCAGCTCTGCAGGGTACTTGCTACAGGTCTGTTATTTTCTCATTTCTACTGTTAACTAGACGTAACCTGTTCTAGGCTTTCTACAGAAGTAACGGCTCAAGGGGAAGAGATACATTAAGTGAGCCAGTGAGTTTGTGTTCATACCAGATTTAAGGTGGATGGTGATCCGCCCTGCACACAGTTCCACACGTTCACCTGAAAAAAGTGTTTTTGAGAACCCTCAGCCCAGTGCTTATGAAAATCAGGCACATTGCTTGTTAAAGTTCCTCAAAGTGCCTGCCATATCAGATTTTCCAGTTTTGCAAGTGCAGTAAGTGCCCAGTTTTTGTCTAAGCCTCAAGTGATTTAGGTACCAATTAAGTGTGCAGTGTTTTATGTTGCTTGAAACCCACCTGGCCCCATCATTTACATTATTGACTGTGCAGTGCTTATTTTTCCTTGTGGAACATTTATCTCTATCTCTGAACATTGGAACCTTAAGTGTGGCTATTGGTGTCTGTGTTTTTTTTTTTTTTTTTTCTGTTTGGGGTGGTATACATGTGAGGTGCGTGGCCCCAGATCTAAGGCTTATTACCAGGTGTGGCACGATATATCGGAGCTTTAACTTTCGACACCAGCACAATGGCCCAAATCAAGATAAACTCTGCTTCGGCTGCTGAGCTGCAGCTGCTACCGGGTGTAGGAGATAAATTGGCCGCTCGCATTATCAAGTTTCGGCATCGCCACGTGAT